GAAAAATTTCTACTGCTCTGAAAGTTCCAATGAGCACAGTAGCCGTAAGTGGATGATGTTTGGAGCCACCAGGACTCTTCTTAGAGCTGGCTGGTCATCTAAACTGAGTGATTAGAGGAGAGTCATTGAGGTGATCAACAACCTGATGGTCACTCAGTCTGAGCTCCAGCGTTCTTCTGTGGAGAAATGGGGAACCTTACAGAAGGACAACCATCTGTGTTGCAATCCACCAATCAGGCCTGTATGGTAGAGTGGCCAAGCAGAAGCCCCTCCTCGCCTGGAATTTGCCAAAAGGCATCTGAAGGACTCACAGACCATAAGAGACTAAATGCTCTAGTCGGATGAGACTAAAATTAAACTCATTGGAGTGAATGCCAGCTGTTACATTTGGAGAAAACCAGGCACCGTTCATTACCATCCCTACAGTGAAGCATGGTTGTTGCAACATCATGCTGTAGAGATGTTTTTCAGCAGCAGGAACTGAAAGACTATAGTAAGGAAAGAGGGAAAGATGAATGCAGCAGTGTACAGAGACGTCCTGAATGAAAACCTGCTTCAGAGTGCACTTGACCTCAGACTGGTGTGACGGTTCATCTTCCAGCAGGACAATGACCCAAAGCACACCGCTAACATATCAATAAAGTGGCTTCACAACTCGGTGAATGTTTTTGAGTGGCCCAGCCAGAACCCAGATCTAAATCCTATTAAACATCTTTGGAGAGATCTGATAATGGCTGTACACCGTCGCTTCCCTTCCAACCTGATAGAGCTTGAGAGGTATTGCAAAGAGGAATTGGTAAAAATTCCCAAAGACAGGTGTGCCAAGCTTGTGGCATCATATTCAAAAAGACTTGAGGCTGTAATTACTGCCAAGGGTACATCAACAAAGTATGAGCAAAAGCTGTGAGCACTTATGTACATGTGATTTTTCAGGTTTTTTATTTTTAATAAATGTAATCTTTTTTTCATATTGTCATTATGGGGAATTGTGTGTCGAATTTTAAGGAAATAAATTAATTTAATCCATTTTGGAACAAGGCTGTAACATAAAAAAAATGTGGAACAAGTGAAGCGATATGAATATTTTCCGGATGCACTGTATATGTCCATACGTTTTTTTTAAAAAACACAATCTTAAAAACTTTCAAGGATTTAAGATGCTGATGACCGTTAAATGCATCATTACAGTCTTTTGAAAATTGTACATTCTTTCATAGGCCTCAAAATTGCTAGTGGTACACTGTAAAAAGCGTTTGGTTGGTTTATTTTAAAAAGCAAGCTGACCTCACCTAAAAACATAACTTGAAACTGTAAAAGGTCCCGTGAAGTGCTTTGAAATGTGCACTTTTTATTCGATGTTTGATGTAATCTTAACTGAAAAATGAATAAAGGTTGGGATTTAAAGTAGTCCCACCCCTTAAAAAAACAGCTAATAGCGTTGTTGGAATATTGAATCAGTTCCATGCGTGTTCAATAAAAAAGGTCAGGAGAAGTTTTTCCATCAATGACAGAAATCGTAACAATTTATTGGATACAAATGAATAATTCGATTCACAGAACTGTGTTATCCTCAATGCAATGCAAAAGTTACATTTAGGAGGTGCGCAACAACTTTCATTTCCTGACTTCAACTTATATAGGCAGCTGGTATTTACAGGTGGAGTTTAAAGGAATTCGTCACTTGTCAATCATTCTACCGGTCTTCCATTGGCCACAGACATAAGTCCTTTTTTTCTACGAATGTTCTGCATAAAAATAAAAGCATAAGACTTTTCTCAACAGCACATATTCTGTTCAGTTTTAACACCTTTCTGCTGAAGGGACGTTTCTGCAGTGCTCAATTTAATTTTGGACCAGCATTTATCTACATCTGCAAAAATGCTTCATTAATATGCATGACATATGAGACTCCAGAAAAACTTCAGTTAATATATGACCTTTAAATGACCAATACAAATAATTGTTTAATGAAAAGAAAAAGAGACAAAAAATAATAAATATATATTCCTTTTTCCCAACAGCATTTAACTTTTAATCACAGCTTTGCCAGTGAAAGTGAATGAGATCAAGCCAATAATATCAAATGAAAAGCAAATGAGAAGCGTCTTCAAGGGGGAGGAGCATGTCAGATACTAGAAAGCGTTTGATTGGTCAAGATTTGATGAGAAACTGAGGAAAAATGTTGATCCATTTGGGCAGAAGTAACAAACTGCAAGTTTAGAATGTTTATATCAGTTTTATATTCTCTAAATAAGAATTTTGTCATTGTTTTGGAGCACACTAATAGATATCCTTGAAATGAACAGACTGAAACTAACATCTAAAAAATCTGTAGAATTATGCATATAATTCATTTAATTTAAGGGAATGGGTTTACTCACTTTTTTTACATCAACGAATTACTTTTTACAGTATATAGTGAAGCAAGTTTCACGGTTTTCTGAAAAGCAACCGTTGTCTGAAAAGCTGCATTCACAAAATTTTCCAGCTAGAAAGTGTGCTTTGACTCAAAATGTAAAGGAAAATTACAAAAAGGTAATGGACATTTCAGACAACAACACTTACGTAGTCTGTGAGGTTTCAACAATATACAATTGTTAGTAAGCACCCCAAAGTGTGCCAAGAAAATATCCTCCACACCACTACCAAAGCCCTTTTAAGGCAAGTCATTTCACATGCTCGGCCATTCCGTTTGAATGAGGAAACATTAAAATTCTCCAAAGTTGCTTGCCAGGCATACAACTGCATTTCATATTAGGAAACAACAATAAATTTAAACAACAACTGTGTCTTTAGTTTCATTTCTAAACATCCAAATCACAAAATCTGCAGAAACTCACGACTTTGGAGTAGTCCTTTGGAGTATCAGTCTATAGCGGTCAATGATTGGCTCCTGTACTAGAAGGCGGGCTTTATTCATCCAATAGCGATCTATGATTGGCTCCTGTATTAGTAGTCGGTGCTTTATTAACCAATATTGACAGTTACACTTTTTTTCCCATTCAAAAAGATAATAGTGACATGTCTTGTGTATCCTATAGTCTATAGTGCCACTACACCACCACTAACTGCCGCTAATGCATGCTTTTATGTTGTTTACACCAAATTCTGACCGCACACTACAAATGCCACAACCTTTTCCCCCCAATCTTCCAGTCCACTTTTGCTCATTGGGTATTTCTCTGTAAGCATTTCTCTGTAAATCCTAGAAATAGTTGTGTGAGAAAATCCCAGTGGAAACCACCAAATCATGTTCGAAGTAAATTAAATTGCCTTTCTTCCCTTATTCTGATGTTTGGTTACTTTGAAGCAGATTGCCTTGACCACGCCCACATGCCTAAATGAATTGTTACTTCACCTTGATTGGCTGATTAGATATATATGTATTTTATCTTTTCATTTTTTCCATCCCCATGTCAGCCTACATCTATGGGGTATTTTTAAAGGATTTTTTATGTAATGATAGTAATTTTCCCCTGCATTCCATCATGGATGGCTCATCCCTCATCCCTTCGAAGGGTTTACCCCCATATAATGAGAGCCTCGATGGGATGAAGGCGCTCCTGCTCCATCATCATCCCGGGCCCTTAAAAAGAATCTATTAGAATCCAAGACATGTCCATTAGTTGTAGCCTTCGAAATGCTTCATTCACATGTGCCTTTCAAGTGACCAGTTTTGAGCACATCGTTGGTTTGGAGCGGCCCTCCAGTATGCTGCACATGATTGTTCTCATTGTGATGGCTCACATGTTCTCGAGTGGCCATCAGTAGCAAATGTTTGTAATACAGAAAAAATGTCTTTGCAGAGGTTGTGGGGAGCTGGGCCGTGCATAGCAAATAAGAATGGTGGTGCTCAAGCCAGGTCAAAAATATAGAAGGAGCTCTCTTATTATTGATTTCAGTGGTGGGCATAACTTGTGTTTGTACTCAATATATTTTTCATGAGAAATTGCAGTGTTTCTTGCACTATTTTTCAGAAGTGAGGTTGTATTACACTTTTAAAAATATCAATAAATTAGAAGTCATCCGTATTTTGTGATTCATGTTTTTATTTTTCCCAGTTTATTTATGTTTAGGAACTGCATTATGGGGCCTTGATCTTTCTTCCAACAACTTTTAACCTTGAAAAGTTAAAAAAGTGACTTTTTTATTAGAATTTATTAGTTAAAGTGATATATTGTCTGGGTTGGTGTTGTACATTACAGTACAAAAACATTGTAATAACCTGCCAGTACATTTTCTGTCATATTACAAACTTATTTCATTCATTTTCCTTCACTTTAGTCTATTATTTAACAGCGGAATGAACCGCCAACTATCGCAGCATATGTTTTACAAAGCGAATGCCCTTCCAGCTGCAACTCGTTACTAGGAAACACCCATACCCTCAAACACACACTCATATACTACGGCCAATTTAGTTAATCTAATTCACCTGCCAACTGGCCCAGCCGGGACTCGAACCAGCGACCTTCTTGTTTGAGGCGCCAGTGCTAACCACTGAGCCACCATGCCACCCCAAGACTTATTTCTTTATATGTTATTTCTTATACATTATATTATTTCAAAATATTATAATATCAATAAAAGTCACTTAGTTAAAATGTAGAGTTGAATTTTCAACACCAAAAGTCGACAGAGGAGAGATCAACATACTATAATGCAAATTGACAACCCTAAATAAATGAAAAAACTACCCAACAGCCACACAACATCATAAGATGTTAATATTTGGTTAGATTTAGGACATATGTCAGCATAGCACAATGTTACTTTGACATCTATTAACGACACCAAATGATTTGGTTGGTTTTAGGTTGTGTTGGAAATTGACCAAAAACCAACGTCGAGCCAACATCTAAAACCAACGTCATATTAGTTAAATACGGACATTTATTCGTCAGGTATGGCTACCAAAATCAGAAGTCTGATTAACATCATAGTGGTAATTTCCAAACAACATCAAGCCATAACATCGGTAGACGCTGATATTTGGTTCATTTTAGGTAGGAAGAAACGTGATTTAAGTGACTTTGAATCTGATCTGAGTATTTTCAGAAAATCTGATCTACTGGGATTTTCACGCACAACCATCTCTAGTGTTCACAGAGAATTGTCCGAAAAAGAGAAAAAATCCAGTGACCCAGTGTTAGAGGTCAGAGGAGAAGGGCCAGACCTACAAAACCGGTAAGGTGTACTTATTAAAGTGGCCGGTGAGTGTATATACTGCAGATTAACAAAACATTGTGATGTTAGATTTTTTCAATATTGTGCTGCCCTAATTTTCACAAAAAAATTCAAAAATAAAATCTAAATAATTTGCCATAGGGGTAAGCAAAATAAACCTGTTTTTAGACGTTGGACATTGATGTTGGTCTGACGTTGGGTTCTGACATTAACCCGATTATCATTTTCAAACAAAATGCAACATTCCCCGACGTTGGGGTACAACATTAATCTGGCAACATGGTGACATCCTGTGCCTGCTGGGTAAATACAAATGCTGTAATACATTTTTTTTCATAGTGTACAATACATACAGTGTAGACTGTTATCTGATTCACAAACAAGCATTTTTTTATGAATTGTTATTTAATTTAATAGTTCAAAAGGCTTGCAAATTCACATGTTACTGTTTAAAATTTAAATAAATAAATAAAATAAAACCTGCTGATGAATTCTTCACCGAAACCATCTAATGAACACTAAACAATGTCTAACATTATGTCAGTGCATCAAAACTTAGCACAAATCAATATAAAACAAAATGAGATGTCATAAAACAATATAAGCAAATAAACCGCGTATTGAGACTGTTTGTCTAAGTATCTAACTGATTTTGAGGAAAGATCAGAGCTGCTAACAGCATGACAATATTAGCATAAAGCTCTATGTACAGCTTAATTTAGAAGATAAACATCTTTTGACATGTGCAAAAACTGAATCAGACAAAGTTAATGAGCCTTCTGATAAAAGTGTCCTTTGCAAAATGCGCAGTTTGCAAATGCTCCTCTTTAGACGCCATTAAGAGAAGAAATGTGCAACATGTGCTTGACACTCATCAAGCTGCAAAGATTATTGAGGCTGTATGTATAATTGAAACTACACATGGAGAACAATATGGCCTAGATACCCAAGTAGTAATTGCTGGAAACAGAGATGTGATATAATTATACAGTAACCCAGTTTTCTGAGCGAATGTGGATCACCGGGTACACTGTGAAAATTAAATCACTAATATATATCAGGAATACTATGTTCTTGACATGTTTAACTTATTTGTGAAATATTTATATATTCAGAAAGTATAAAGATGTTTTTTTTACAGTGTCAAATCGCTAGAAAGTACATCATCATAAACATTCATTCACATTGTGTTTGATTTAAAATGTTCAAATGAAAACATCCCCAAAGTTTGAACCTCATGAGTTTGTGTTGTTGTTGTTGTTTATGACAGGGGGTGGTCCCCAGTCAGGCTGATAGAAGTGTATGTTGAACATGCGTGCCCATTTGGCAAAGACACGTTTCTCAGTGATGAAGCGATGATGGCTGCCGTGCCGGCCCTGCTCATGGGTGACATACATGGTGCATTCATCCGTGCCCGAAGGCTCGTAGTAGTGGTATGGCACTGAAGGCTTGGTGTGGGGAGACCTGGGAAGCACATTTGACGAATTGAAATTGTAAAATTTAATAGATGCATATTTAAAACAACGATGATCCAACAGCAATATCACTCCAAAAAGGATTTTCTTACTTTATGGTTTTGTCTTGGCACTAGTCCAAATATCTAAAACAAATTTAATCAAGAAGCATTGTCTAGATAGGTCTAGTAAAAATTGCCTTGCTGTCAGAAAAAAGAGCAGTCAAGATTAAGCAAGATTTTCTCTAGGGCTGCACAATATTGTTTCATCATCGATATCGCAATATGATCATTCGCAACAGTGACATCACAGGAAGTGTAATGTTGAGTCTGTATTATAATGTATCATTTGCATGTGTTTTTGAAGCCTGTAACTGTATGAGGAATTTAAAAGCATTCAGGCATAAGAAATTGTACCATTAGTAAGGTTATATTTATTTTTATTTATCAATTGCTGAACCTGAATACTGTTAGACTCAGAAAACGATAAACCCTATTTATTTCAATTGTGTCTTGTTATTTATTGTATTCATCTATGCTTTTACTTTATTTGTTTTTATGCAGATTCACACACCAACAGAACCATCCCAATCTCAACAATTATAAATTCATTCCAAATAGATATTCAAGCCATCTGGTGAAATTGGATTCATATTGCAATATACTCAACTGCCACTTTATTAGGTACAACTGCTTGTTAACGCAAATTTCTAATAAGCCATCACATGGCAGCAACTCAATGCATTTAGGCATGTAGACATGGTCAAGACTGATCTGCAGCAGTTCAAGCTGAGCATCAGAATGGGGAAGAAAGGGGATTTAAGTAACTTTGAACGTGGCATGGTTGTTGGTGCCAGACGGGCTGGTCTGAGTATTTCAGAAACTGCTGATCTACTGGGATTTTCAAGCACAACCATTTCTAGGGTTTACAGAAAATGATCTGAAAAAGAGAAAATATCCAGTGAGCCGCAGTTCTGTGCCTTGTTTATGCCAGAGGTCACATGAGAAAGGCCAGACCTACCAACCTGGTACTAGTAAGGTGTACCTAAAGTGGCTGGTTATTGTATATATCAGACTTAAAAAATAAATAAATAAATAAATTAAAAAATTTGCAATTTAAAATTTTTTCAATTTTATACTGCTCTAATTTTCACAAAAAAAATAAAAAATAAAATAAAATCATAATAATCTCCCAGTAGGGTAAGCAAAACAAACCTGTTTTAGGCTACTTTGTTTAACCCACAGACAGATTTTTGTATTTGCTTTAAGGAGAATCTCCCTTATTTTTTCTGAAACAAATCAATATTTTTTACTTGTCTTGAAAATGCTTCTAGATTTTAGAGTTGTTTAGATATTTTGTACCAGAAACAATAAAAAAACTCTCACTAAGAAACTGTTTTTGCAGTGATGAAGGCATAAGAGAAAGTCTCACTTGCAGAACTCTGGAGGAACCATGCCATAGACGTTGATTCTGTCACACATCTCTATAGCGATTGCCATGGTGAACCAGCCCGTGCTGAGCCATGAATTGGACCTTTTTCTGAGCAAAACAGAAAAGAATAAGGACGTTTATGAGCAATTCCAAGCAAATGTCAAACTCGCCATGAAGAAAATAAAGTTTTCACCACAGTTGCAAAACCCTTTTTTAAGTTGTATGTGCAGGCTTGTATTTTACAGTACTGTAAAACTCAAAAACAACATAATTTGATTTACCAAAGTCACACAAGAGCCAATTACACATCTGTTACATCCATAATGGAGAGATGTCACAGTGTTTTACTCATAAATGCAAAAATGTCAAATAAAATAAAAAATCTTCGTTCTAGAGAGCCAACTTTTATCCTTGTTGACAAGTTTTTTTTTTAGTCATGCATTTGCTTGAAGTATGTTGTATGTGCACATGCTTTTTTGTCACATCTAGAATGCATGTTTATTTCCCTCATTTAAACTATAAAACACATATACAGAATTGATATATTTTCTGATCCCATAAATCTTTGGCTAGTCGTTTTGGAACAATATAAACAGATGTTGCAATATACTGTAACATATACATTCTCTGTGAATTTATGTTTCAAGTTTTCACTGCAAATGTCACATCCATAACCCTAGAATTGCTCTTATGCAGCTGTGATGATCTATGAACTATATATAATCATGATGATGAAAATGTTTCCACGGAGACGGCATGCATTACAAAAGGCTAGTTTAAATATATGAATAAAAAAAAATAAAAAAAAACATGCTGATCTCTATGGATTTAAATCGTTTGCTGAAAAACATAGTTGAAGCTACATAATTGATTTGACTTACAGTACAGCTCTAGTGAAAATTAAGAGATCACTTTTAAGTCATTGTCAGTTCTCTAGATTTGCCATTAATATATCTATTAGGAGTAAAATTTACACTTAAAGGGTTCAGATGCAAAAAGTTCCTCCTGATTTTTTTCTAAAATGAGCATTTTTCTTTGCTTTCATATGTTTATGCTCAGTTATTGAACTTTAAAGGCAATGCAAATTGCCATGGACGGATGGATGGACAGATAGACAGACAGACAGACAGACAGGTAGGTGTGAACCTACACTGGTCAAAGGGTTTGGTTTGGTTCAATTTGATATCTCGTTCCATCACGGTGCATTCCGACAATGCTTTCCAAAGACAATTTTATATTTTACTTCACAGAACAATAATTCTTGTATTAAAATGTATAATTTATTAATATATTTCTACATTATTTGTAATACAATTTTGTCCTTTAATATAAGCAGTCAGATATATGAACTGCAACTTTAATTTTATCTGCTCAAAGAAAACACTATTTTTAAATGTATCAATTAAAACTCAAGGACATGCACAGAACAACATGAGCATTTATAGCAAATAAACAAATGTAAATATTATCCTGCCTGCTTTTTAAGCGTTATGGAGCAAGTTCTTTAATGCTCTTATGATTGGTCACATGCTCAACAGAAAAGGCTGCGATTGGCTCTAACCCTCTTGCACTGTTCACCGATAAATGACAGATGATTGGTGATAGAAATGGTGGAGAAAACTTGAAATGGTCTGAATCCACAAGTATCGCTGTAACAATCAAGATGAGAGGAAATGTTACCTCATGACAGCAGGTCAAAGCGAAAGAGAAGCAGAAATGGAGTTTACAGCTTACATTTTCTTAATAGTAGTGAAATAGTGGCTTCTGCTGTAACTTAAGTGTTAGAGAAAGACTGTCCAGCAAACACACAAGCAGTGAATTGTGCACAGTTTCTGCATTTTTTAAATAGTTGGAGCATTTTAATTACTCACGATTGTCTCCTTTACCATAGTAAACTAACGCAATATAGTGCATATGAGATCAATTATGGCAGTACCTAATAACGGGTCAGGATCTTTTACTGAACCAATACCAAATTGTTTGTATCTGCATTGCAGGGACCCACAGAAACAATAAATTTTGACACCCCAGACAGACAGACAGACAGACAGACAGACAGACAGACAGACAGACAGACAGACAGACAGACAGACAGACAGACAGACAGACAGACAGACAGACAGACAGACAGACAGATAGATAGATAGATAGATAGATAGATAGATAGATAGATAGATAGATAATTGAACAATAAGTAAAACACAGTTTATGCTGTCTCCTTTGAAACATTTTCGCTAGCAGGTTTACCATGTCTTCGTTTGATTGCACGGCTCACATGGCTCATAGTTGGAGGATGGATTAAGATGAGAGTGAAATAAAGAGATAAAAGATGCACAGACAGACATAAAAAAAAAATCCATTTAAGAACATGTGAGCATTTTGCCTGGAGCAGTTTGTGTCTGATTGGGTGCATCCCAGCTGGCATCTGTCTCCAGCTGGCACTGATCCCGTACTAACCCTTAATCTGCACTGATGCCAAGCATGTGCCCCGTGGGCCAGCGATGCCAACCCTCCAGCAGGCTCTGGTGGTCGGCATATTAGTTAACAAACCCTCTTGCATTGCTTCTGTGGAGAACACTTATACCTCTCTTTAAAGTTTCAAAGGTCATGTGTGTAATCTTTTCAAATCTCTTGCCTCACATCCCTTTTTTGCGTTAACTATTTGTGGTCATAAAGAATGCGAATTGCAGACAGTTTGACTGACCAGTGAAATAAAAAACAACTGCAAACTATAGCTTTAAGTGCAATTCTTTTTGTTAGTTTTTTTGTGATTTCACATTCAATTCATCTTTATTTCTATACCGTTTCTCCAACAATGTAGATTGTGTCAAAGCAGCATTATAGTATTGTATTTGTATTTTATAAAATTAACATATAAAATTGTATTTCTACGTATAAAATTGTATTATAGTATTTATAATATTGTATTAGTAGCCTACTGCAAAAAATCTAGGGAGAAATGTTATTTCATTACTTATTTATTCGCATAACCTTTATCAAACTGTACATACTTTAATCAAAAAATTCATTTATTTATTCATTTATAAAAGTCAAATTTCAAATATATGTCAAATGTTTACCTTTCTCTATCTTATTTGGTTTTACAAATAAAATAGAAATAAGTTAAAAAAGGTAAAATCACCTATTATCTTTTATTAAATTGTGTATATACTCAAGAATTTATTTAATCATTTATTTATTATGTGTTTTTTCATTCATGCATTCATTACATTCATCCATATATTGAATGTCAATTATATATAGAATTTTATAATCAAGTTTTACAAACAACTATACAAAAATAGGTCATAAATTAAATTATATAAATGATGTGCCTTCCAGCAAGTGATAAATAATAAAAAGACATAATCAAATTAAATGATTGGTTTCATTCATTCATTGTAGAAGATTCAGTATTTTGCTGTGATGTAATTCTACATAATCAAGATCAATAATCACATGAATTTAATCATTTAGTAATGTAAAGATATCACCCATTCATTATACAACCCCAAATCAGAAAGTTAGAACAGTATGGAAACCGCAAATAAAAAAAGAGAGCAGTGATGTCCAAATTTACTTTGACTTATATTATTTCATGCTTTGTCTGGCCAACTTCATTTTATTCGTAAGTAAACATCCTTTCCTGCCATTCAGACCTGCAATACATTACAATACACGCCACAGTCACGAGTTTGAGCATGAAAAATTCTGTCATACGGCACTGCGCAAAGAGGCGGGATTAAACAAGATGATCAGACATTTTAAAAGGAAACGATTGGTCCATATTTTAAATTTCTGTACAGACAGGTCATGTTTTGATCTTTCATTGGTCTCACACAGTTACATGATGTGATTTTGTGCATGAGCGCAAATTTGTCCCACAAGCTTCCATTTCCAGTCTGTCGCATTCACAAGCATATGAATAAAAGTCTATGGGGGGAAAAGTGCAGCTTGATCACCACGATTTCTACACCAAGGCTTTAGGGGTGTTAATCAGGCAATTGGTTAAATAATGATGTGATTTGAAACAGGTGATGTCAACAGGTGATTGTAATTATGATTTGGTACAAAAGCAGCATCCAAGAAAGGTCTATTCCTTAAGGCAGTGGTGCTCAACCCTGTTCCTGGAGATCAACCTTCCTGCAAAGTTCAGCTCCAACCCTGGTCAAACACACCTGAACCAATTAATTAGGACCTGAACAGCATTTGATAATTACAGGCAGGTGTGTTTGATATGGCTTGCAACTGAAATCTGCAGGAAGTTCGATCTCCAGGAACAGGGTTGGTCACGCCTGCCTTCATAAATAAAGATAGACTGAGAATCGCCAGTTTGCCAACAAATATGTGAACAAATTATTTCCCTCAAAGAACAATAGGAAGACATTTGGATGTTTCACCTTCGCCAGTGCATAATATAAGGAAAAGATTCAAGAAATCTGTAGGAATTTTAGCATATAAAAGACAAGGGCGCAAGCCTAAGCTGAACAACCGGAATCTTCGATCTCTCAGGCGGCACTGCATCAAGTATCGTCATTCAAAAGATCATCCAGAGTGTTTCCAGCAACAAGTCCAAAGCAGGGTCTGTGATGGTATGGGGTTGTCTCAGTACCCTTGGCAAAGGTAACTTGCACTTCTGTGACGCACCATTATTGCTGAAAAGTAAACAGGGATTTTGGAGCACAATATGCTGCCTTCTTTTCCAGGGACGGCCATGCATATTTCAACAGGACATTGTAAAACCGGACTCTGCACACATTACAAAGTCCTGGCTATGGAGAAAGAGGATACAGGTACTTGACTGGCCTGTCAGCAATAAAAAATGTGAGGCACATTTTGAAGTGCAAAATGTGATTTTTTTTAAAATTTTTATGTATTTTACTTCCATACTGTCCCAACTCTTTCTGATTTGGGGTTGTAGTAGAGCCAATATTAGTGCTTCTAGTCTCAAAATCAATTTCTTGAGGGCCGCAGCTCTGCAGCTCATACAACTAATCAAGGTGTTCAAGACTCTTTTGAACAAGTTGATCATTTGGATCAGCTGTGTTTGATTAGAGTTGGAGTAAAACTGCAGAGCTGCGGCCCTCCAGAGTTTGAGACCCATACTCTCTTCAGTATTACTAACTCTAGTTTTAAGTAGGGGTGCCGCTAACGGGGGGTGGTTAAGTTAGGAGGATTCTAAGGTTCCACGCACTTTTGGAGCCCCCAGAGATACTATCAGAGGGCCCAACCTCATCCTACTACCAGTTCTTCTCTTTCATCATTATAAATGAATGGTAAACTAAGGGTAAATAAATGAACACAAAGAAAGTTAAAAGTTTGATCATTCTCACCTATCCTTTCCAGTCTCCTTCTTGAAGAGTTCATCAAACTGCAGCATCTTCGGCCGTGAGATGATGTACACCTGAAGTTTGGGCATCAACTGTTTCATCAGACGCAGGTTGTTGTAGACAAGGCCTTTACCGTCTCTCCGCATGTAGTTTCCAGGCCCCCAGAAGATAAAGAAAGTGTCCTGGCTGGAGTTGAGGAGCTCGTAGCGGTTTCGCAGCACACGCTGCATGCTGGAATGAGCAATCACACGGAGATTTGTATGCTGGCCCACATCCTTCTGGTATCTTCTTGTTGGGGCATCATTCATACGAATGACACACTCTGTTTCGTCGATCTCTGCACCTCGACCACTTCCTGTCATGTGACCAGAGCTCGTCACCAAGGCACAACTTCTGCAGTGCGTCTTGAGAGGCTGAGGATGGAGACAATGGTGAGAACAGGGAGTTTTATGTACATAGTAGACTTTGTGTTCAATCACCTTTAAAAAAAAAATAGAAACCATGGATTTTAATGTATTTTTACCCTCAGAATCATTACATTTTACCTTTAAACATTTGTGACTTATTGTATTCTACAAACTCATAATAGCAAGACATAAACTCAGAATTGCAGCTTGAAAAACGCCACTACAGAATGGCAAGATATGTAGTTACACTTTCACTTAAAATACAACTTTCGTTATTAACAAACCATAACTATGATGTTTGCTTCAATAAAGTCATCATTTACTGCTACTTATAAATAGTTATTAAATACTCCAGCAGGCACAGAACATCAAAAGACATAATATTAGGTTAGATTTCAGTTGACGTCAGGTGACCAAAATTCAATGCCAACATTTAAGGACGTTATTTTGACGTCCAATAACAATGTCAAATGACGCTGACATTTGGTTTAATTTAGATTGTGTTGGAAAGTGACCAGAATCCAATGTCGAGTCTTAAATTAACATCTTACTGACATCAAAAACTGACATTTATTTGTCAGGTATGGCAACCAATTCCAACGTCTGAGAGACGTCATAGTGGTAACGTCCACACAACGTAAAGCTGTAACATCATTAGACATTGATATTTGGTTGATTTTAGGTTGTACATTGGACATTGTCGGCAAGATGTTGGGTTCTGACATTAATCACATTTTCATTTCCAAACAAAATGCAACATCTCCACAATGTTAAGGTACAATGTCAATCTGATGCATGTTAATGTCCTGTGTCTCCTCGGCTTGTAGTAGTTAGGTGTAGGCATTGGGTAGGATAAGAGATGAAGAATATTACCAATAATAACTACTAATTAATAAGTACTAATAACCAGCCAATATCTTAAAAGACAGGATCTGCAGAGTTTTTTTTGCTATTTCTGCCCGGAATTTTGTTTTGTAAGAAATAAAATAAAAATCCGCAGAATTTTGCAGGTTGCACCATGTTTCAGTTTTTGTGCTTATACTGGAACCCTTGGTAAATATGAGTAAAATAACACTTTCTTTATGGTTTAACCTAAGGAAATTTGGCATACATTTTGCATGTAAAATCAGATGTTTAAATATTTAAAAAAAAAAAAAAAAAAAACGGTTGAGAACAGTTAATTACCACTAATAGTTTGCTATTTTAGTGCATATGGGTGACCATGACCTCCTGTATAACAAGGGAATAAATATGAGGTAACACAGAGCCAAACTCACTCAAGCTGCATCTGAAATCGCATACTACTCAAACAGTAGGTACTACAACTAAATTTAAATTCACTACATGACTGTTAGAGAAGTATGCTCCATGTACACTGCTCAAAAATATAAAAAATACACTTGTACAGTAACTCAATATAAACATCACGATGTAACTCAATCAATCACACTTTTGTGAAATCAATCTGCCCACTTAGGAAGCAACACTGACTACGTGTATATGGACACCAATAAATTAATTTTAACGCGATTAAAACAATACTCTGATTAAGAGTTAACCATGTAAACAGTGATTTTTGATTAACTTAATCAGATTAAGGTCATAATCGAACAAAAGAGAAATCGAATTAAGATATGTGGGGTATGCCGATTTTAGTTGCATTATTGAAGTGCAGTACAGACATGTAAACACCTTAATCAAACTATTACCATCACGTAGCGTTTTGCGACAAGATAGTCCAGACACACAAGGCTGTTTGACACTCTCTGCACCAACCCAGTCAGCGCAGACCACAGACACCTGCATAGTTAAATGCGGAAGGTTTTTTTTTTCTACCATTCAGCATGCGGTATGAACTTTCATTAATACAACACTTCCAGCAGTTTATTATTGCATCCAATATCTTGTTTGTCATGGAGGGCGTGCAGGAAATGTTCGTGAATGAAAGTGAAAGTGCCAAACTGCAGTTAAAGTCCACAAATTAAAAATTAAACACTCAAAATAACATAGTCACTGATTGACAATCAATTTCACATGCTGTTGTGCAAATAGAATAGAGAACAGGTGGAAATCATAGGCAATTAGCAAGACACCTCTATAAAGGAGGGATTCTGCAGGTGATGCCCACAGACAACTTCTCAGTTCCTATGCTTTCTGACTGATGTTTTTGGTCACTTTTGAATGCTGGTGGTGCGTTCACTAGTGGTAGGATGAGCATTTTGTACAAAATCAGCAAATTAATCTCCTTAACTTTTATTTAAGGTTTACAATTCAAAGCCAATTGGTGCCACCTGTTTGGTAAGCAAAACTACAGCAGGTTACCTCACTAAAAGGTGTAGAAAATATTACTGCACGAATTGTATTGTACATAAATAATCCAAACATTTGCATATAACTCAATAATATTACAGAAATATAAGAATTGAATAAATATATATTTTACACACATTTACATAAGTAAACGATGGGCTCATGATAAACCACTACTGTAGTTAATAGTGAGAATTGTTAATTAAACTAAAGTGTTACTCCTATAAACTTAGCATTGTGAGATTTTGAATTGTAAGAAATAAAATCTAAATGGCAAAATTTTTTTATCTCACTTTTTATAAGATTTTAATCTATTTTTTTTTCTTTCAGGCCGTTAAACCACCCAGATATTTTTGATGCTACCCCCTCACAAAAAATTTATTTTAATTCAGAAAATGAAAACATGTCAATTAAGAGATGTACTATAAATATTACATATTTTTTTAAAATCTACAATTATGCAAGCAAAAGACGAAAGGATAAACCTATGCATGCAGAGTGAATAATTTAGATGCATGTGAATGAGATCACTGTGAAAATGAATGCATGGAGACACACTGAAAGGGCAAAACAGATCAAAGTGCCCAGTCCACAAAGACTCCTTTTACCTTTACTGTCACCATTATTGAGTCCCTCCAGTATAATCAACACTACACGACGCTGAACCAACCCACAAGAAAGGCTTTGAGGGAAAGCTTTCTGAACACTCATTTTAGAGGAATTTTTGCAAAAAAAACTGTTGCAAAAAATTTGTAAAGACTGCATTGTTTTTAGTAGGAAGACCACAGGATCACAAGAATTAAAAGCAACAAACTAACCTGATACTAATATACTGAGAATGGATAATGAAGCAGAAGAAACACAGAGCTTTTATAGACAGACCAAAGCAATCAATCAAAGCCAAACAAAGGTACAGACACTAATCAATGAAGGAATCACGACAGAAACGGACGCAAATTATGTCAATCAACCAACACAAACAAAACCCACCACAACACCAAAACGCCACTATAGATAACTGCTGACAGCAAAACTTTTCTTTTTCTCAATGTTATGAAGTTCTATTAGTGGCAACAATCCTTTGTCTTTCCCATAGATAAACATACTTACACATATTGATGAATCATTCCAGCATGACTTTTTCATGCAGGTAAAATGTATTTTTCATCTTTGAAAACTTTTCAGAATATGTTGTTTTCAAACCAGTTTGTTAGAAATAAAGCGGTAGGTTTTAAAAATGTTTTTATTTATTATTTTTGAGTAATCATTTAAAGTTCACATAAAACTCAAAATACATTTCAGTTGCACTTTTATTTTACAATATTTGTGCCTATATTGAAACCCTTGGTAAGTAAAAAACACTGTAAAACATTCTTTATAGTTTAACATATGGAAATTTGGCATACATTTTGCATGTAAAATTGGATGTTTAAATATTAAATTAAAAAACCTCTCATTAAGAACAGATTCCCACTAATAATTTAAAATTTGTACAATACTAAAAATACACATTGTTCAACCATGTCCTCCTGTTGTCACAGAGGAATAAATATGAGGTGGCACACCAAATTAAACATCTGCATCTGAAATTGCATGCTACTCACCTAGGTACTACAATTGAAATTGAATTTACTTCACTACAACTGAATACTCTATATACTATGAATGTGACTGGTATGAATGGAATTCAGACGTACATCCGCCATTTCTCATTATTACATTACCTATCAACATCAAAGGTGCTGCTTTACTCCCGTTCATGGCATCATGAGATAGCGCAGCGTCCATTGGATGCACACTACAGAATCTCGCTGGAAGTATTAGGTCATACAGGTACTTTTCGCTTATTGTTTTTTTAAACACTATGAAATTAGACATACTGTTCTCGGCTCACATAATAGTTTTCACATACTATATATAGTAGGGAAGTACACAATTCCAGATGTAGCATCAGACATTTTTCACAAAAGCAAAGCAAAAACTGCAATTTGTGGCAATTTTAGTGCTTCACAAAATGGGAAGTGGTAAGAGAGTAATGAGAAAATAAGAAAGAAGCAAGAACACTGAAATTGCCCATTTTTACCACAATCAGAGCAATAATTAAGTAACAAATTTCTGCCAGAGGAAAGTCTTCTGAAACAGGAAGATGTTGTGTGTCTGACGATGTGTTTGGTCCCAGTGCACTGTTAGGAGAATGGTTGGAGAGCCCAAAAATTCTATAACAATCAGAGCTGGAAAGTTGCAGAATAGTTCTATTGTCACGCAAAACCCCGCAAAAAAATATTTGGGCTATAAACACCAGAGGTCAGTTTTACACACACAGAAGGCAACATTTTGAAAACTACCCATGTTAAAAAAACTGGTTGCCTGTTTTTCTATTCAGAGTGCCAAGACATCTCATTAAGATACATGGCATCGTTGACTATTATCAACAAGTATTAAATGAAAACCTGTATTCTCTCAAATTCCAACTGTGAAATGAACTAAAGAGCAAAATCCACAAGCATGGACTTGAAAGATGAAGGATTTGTTGATATTCTGTATTAAGGAAAATGACAGGAATAGGAAATACAATAAAAAGAGCATATAACATGGCGACATTTAAATGTCTCACTCATGAGAAGTTTCTGATTTGAGATAAGTTTGGTTATTTGAATAATATCAAGCAATGACTCATTTATAAAACTGTGAGATGT